CATTAATATCGTTAAATACTGGCTCATTGCTCTACAGTTTAGGCGTTCACTCGCAAGAACAAAGTTCTTGAATTCGAATCCCGTGTGTGGAATCGTGGAAGCTCACTGATCAGGAAACCCATACTAGGACGAAACGGCTGTTCAATGTTTCCATTTCTTCAATGATGGTTTAACATTGATCGATTTATGCATCTCAATTAATAATTAAAAAATCTCCACAATCCCATACACAAAATCAAATTGTGATTTTCGCTGTGTGTTACAAGATTTAAAAAATGACAGACAAAAACATACAAATAGTTAAGTGGAAGGGGTAAAAGTATCAAAACATTTAAAATAAGACTACAAAACATATATCAATCTATTCTTTCAGCTATTTACGATCCATCTTTATTTTTAGGAATATTTTCTATTTCTTTTTGGTGTTGTATGCTACTCTTGTAAGTCCTACTTGTAAATCATATATTAGTGACTATATTCTCATTATTATCATGTTTATTCTTTTTTTTACAGTGTTTATTTATATATCTACTGTTATTGTTACTGATATTATTGATAATCCTGACCAATGAATGAATTCATCATGAAGTATAGATTTGTCTGTCAATCAGGATACGATTAAATTTTTAATTTCCTAATTAGTCAATTATTCTTATTTAATTGTTTATAGTTTATGGCTTATTATGATTACTTACTAATAATAACATTATTAATAATAATAGTCATACTTAGTATTAATATTATTATCAACAGTTGTTACTAAAGCGATTATAGATAAATTATATTGTCATTACTAGGGGTTTGAATAAATACTGATAAAGTAGTTTGTTAAAATGATTGTTTATATTTTAAAATAGATACTCAATAATTACTACTGAAAAATATACAAGTAGTTTAGCAACAATAATAATATGAATAATAAGTGATTTGTAAGGTTTGTTAATATTGTATGTTGTTTTACATCAACAATTGATATTAGATGAGGAACTGTTTGGGAATTTGAAGTCAGTGTAGAGCTAATTCTTAATTATTTAATATTCTCAACGGTTTCCATGTAGGGATCGAAACCATAATCTATGTATAGTTATATTTCTCGAAGTATTTTTTAATCAATTTAGTGAATTTGTATTAATATTGGTAATAATAATAATAATAACATCAACCAATGTTATCACCAATTTCTGTTTCATTCCTTTTTTGGGATTATTGAACAGCACCAGTTCGTGGTTAAAACTTTAATGATTTGTTTTCAGATCGATAATGTGAAAATAAACACTCATTGTTTAGTCTGAATATTATGTATTTGAGAATGAGAACAAAATTTTGTCAATATGAAAACAGAAATCTACATTCGATTCAACAATTAAGAAATTCTGTAGAGTGAAATAACGTGTTAAATACAAAATTCCAGAGTAAACATCAACTCTGCATTTCAGGTACACTCAACTGATACGTCTCAAGTAGTAAGAAATGCTAGTCCTGGATTTCACTTCTAGCTACTCTCTATCTCTGCTTATAACACATATGAGTCAATATTGAACGAATCCATACAATATGCATAAATGGTTGCAGTCCTAAACATCAGTAGGAAGATTCAAACAAAAAATATAAAAAACAAAGCAGCAGGTTAACTTTTATAGAAATTTATTATTATGAATAGAGAAGACTACTTACTGCTTAGTGATCAATAAATTGTATGGATTCAAAGTTTATTTTATATTGTCACGTGCTCACTAGTGAATAGATTCAGATTGCGATTCCTGGAGTTCTAATGCCAAGCTGTGAACAATAAAGTTCAGCCACGTTGGGTTTGAGATAGTTATCTACGGAAAACAATAAAAGAATAGTATGCAGTATCGTAAAATTGATTAAACTTAGACGCATAGACTTTGGGATGCCGGCTCGGCGGTCTAGAGATTAAGTGTTTGTACACAAAATCGACGTTTCTGTGTGGAATAGTGGTGGACACGCACTGTTTGAGAGTCACAATGCTTTTGAGTCTCCAATCGTAGTCTAGCTAAGAACAGTTTGTATGTTCCTTCAAAAAAATAAAATAAAATTAGTAAAGTAGTCCCTTAGTACAAAACATTGAAACATGTAGATTTAGAACAAAATAGTTTATTGCCAACTTTACCTATCCGAAATATGGAAAATTATGTCCAATTTAAATATTTGTAACTGTAACCTAAAACGAATACAAATAGTTGTTGATTGAGTTAAAAACGAGAAATGTAAAGTTCTATGAAAAAAACCTTTCCAGATGATTGATGTGAATGTGATTTGTAATACTTATGAATAATTTTTATACAGTAATTATCTTTTAAGTTGAATGATTCATTGAAATTCTGAAAAATATCATTAGTGCATATGAATAATGCTCAATTGAACTTTGTCAAGTAAGACAATTATAGATTCATCTTTAAGCAATGTAGTGTAAAGGACGTGACATTATAAAATAATTGACAATGTTTAATAATAGTAATAATAATAATAAGGTTGTAGAAACTGCTGAAATCAGCAGAGGTATGAAACATTATGAGAAGAGAACATAGTGTTTTATACACACATCAACAAACAAATAAGCACAAATAGTCACTCACATATCTCAAGGTTAAATTCTAGGAAATACAAAAATGGGATTACAATGAAAAACTCACTATTCAATTAGTTCTCCCTACTATTGTTATTATTATTAATAAAAGTATTAGTAGCTTGAGACACAGACATTTCACTGAAATGAATGACATAAAACTAGGATACATCATGACGGTCATGAGAAAATCGAACACATTTTTTTAAGAGCAAAAAGGAAAACAAAGTAAGAGTCATGACATACACTCAATAAACATATAGAACAAAGCACATCTCATTCAAGCCATGATGACATATCATAAATTCACAGTTTATATATATATATATATATATATATATATATATATATTGTTTTTGAATTGTGGCTTTTCGACATCATATCAGACTTGTGATATTTTTGCTTGCTTGTTATTCTTGCTTTTTTTCCTTCAGTTTGATCTGTGATGTATGTTTGCCTGTTTGTTTGTCTATGAATGTGCTTAAAAGAGTATATAAATACTCCCTTTGTTCTTCATCTTTTATCATTTTTATTGTTGTTGTGTATATTCTCTCTCATTCTTGTGAAATTCTTTGAAATTCAATATGAGTGAGCTAGTTGTTTTTCAACTTGTGTTCCTGTCTTCCCACTACTGAGTACTTTGTTGTATTTCATCATCCTCATCTTTTCTTGTTCAACTTTGAAAATAAACAAGAAACACACACATACCAAATACATTCTGGGAAATGAACATTGATATAGATGAATAGATAGATAGACAGACAGACAGACGCATTATCATACATAGAACAAATATGATATACAGACATACTTATATAGACATATAGATTTACTTATCCAATTTCCTAAAAATAAATATCAGAATTAAAAATGAAATGGTTTTTATATGTATTGAAATTTATTTATCATTTACATTATTAGAAAAAGATAAATAATCATAACAATATGGAATATCACTTCTTTCATATGAATAATTGGTATTATGATAGAATTTTTATCTAACCAGGTGGAAACTATTATCATAATCCATTGCTTTTCTCATTAATAAACATAATCCCTGTTAAATTCACTGATCATCTATGAAATTGGATTAATAAAAACAAAAAAGAAAAGAGAAGAGAATATTTTATAGACCGGAATATTTCAGTACAAAAATTGATCAGTCAACTCTAATGTTCAATATTAGTGAAATATAAAGAGAAGAAAAAAAGAAAGAACGAAAGAAAGAAAGAAAAAGATAATTTCATTTGAATATTTTCTTATTATTATACAAACTGTTCATTTTATTCTCTTTTTTTTGATGAAGAAATTGTAGCAGATATAACCATTCACACAAGAAAAGAATTGTGTTTAAACAATACTGGAACGTTTATTATTATTAATATTATTATTACTATGATTATTACTATTTTAAATGAATATCAAATCATTTTATGTACTGTGATCTACTATTTATAAATTTCTATTATCATATATTATGTATCCGATGTTTATTAATTTTGTTTATTCAAATTTATTAATTTCATTAATTGGTTGGAATTATAAACAACAAATTAATTTAAATGAATGTAATATTACATAATCATTACTTTGATATTATACATAGTAACATAATATATTATCACTAACATTAATTTCTAAATTTTAATAGTATTATATGAATAGGAGAATTTTGTTGTTGTTGTTAACAATAATGATCTGTTAATTGATCTTAATGGATAATTGATACTTATAAGTAGTATATGATGCATTTATTAATTTCTGATCGTTACAAATTCAATTTTCAAATGTATATTTACAAGAAGTTTCAATATATAGTTTCTTTTTTAACTAATTAAAGAACAATAATTTGTATGAAAAAAGTTTTAATGATAAATAAATCAATGTTATCTTGGTATAGACCATTTAATAATCAAGTGTTACTTATATTTCAAAAGATTACATAGAAGGAACAAATAAATAAACAAACAGACAAACAAACATCATTACATAATAGAAAAAATCTGGCTTCCTCTATCGGAAAAATCTTAAGGGATTTTACAACATAATATTTGTATTAAATAAATGATCATCTTATTCAAACTGATAATCTTTGTGATATTATCATTGTTCATTGTTAATATCTATTCAGCTTATTACAACTGTATCAATATATTTGTTGAATTGACTGGATTTCCAACTACATTCTAAATATTAACAATAATAAGAAGAATAACAAAAAAGAAAACAGATAATCATAAAGGACACAACACTTTACTGAGTATACAGATTCTTTATACTAAGTATTTACTGACTTAAAATATTATTTAATTTATATAGTTAGTTTTCTTTGGATTATATTATATTAAAGAGAATAACAAAATACACATATAACATTAACATATAAAAATTATATAGAGAATAATTACCAATGGCACGTGGAGCTGGTGGTTTATTAGATGGTGGATTTGTATTTAAATTAGGCAGATTATTTAAAACGCCATATGGTGGAGAAGGTGTTGATTTTATTGATCAATTAAATTATCAATTTACTGGTGGACTAATGGTTATATTTATAGCAATTATCAGTTTTCGACAATATGTCGGTAAGTGATTTCAATTTTTTAAAATTCTTTGATAAATATATTACCATTATAATGAGATTGATGGATTCATGTTTTAAAATAAATTATCCGTTTTCTTTTTTATATTAATTTCAAAAATCAATTTTTTTCGATAACATGAATGTTTCTTTTGGGGGGGGAATGAAACAGTCTATGGTTTTTAAATATAAATGAAATATTATATGAAAAATTTTTTTGTAAATTTAATTACTCGGTTTACAGATCCCCATCATATTAGATGACTAATATTTGATCGAAGAATATTCTTTTCGATAAATTCTCTTCAGGTTCTACAATTATCTCATATCCAAATTAATAATCTGAAAAATGGCCAGGTTAAGGGTAAAGTACATGGTTTAAAGTATGTGAATTTAGGTTGTTAAACAGAATACAGTAAAATTGTTAATGTTGATATGACTCATATAAAATGTTAACTTGAATCTGCGTATATGTTAAGTGAAATTTAAGATCCATGATCCGGATAAAAATGGATCAGATGGAGTGAGAGAAATAAAAGTGCAATTACAATTCAGTCAAATGTATTTATCAGTTCGACTGCTCTTGTGGAGCGAGTTATATTGGTCGAAGTTCTAGGAATTTGCATTTTCGTGCCCGTGAACACCTCCCAGCATGGCTAAACAAAGGTTTGATGAAGAAAGTGAACAGCCCAATATTAGCCCATTTGGTACAAACTGGTTATAGTGCCAGTATAAACCAATCTTTTTCAATTATTTATAAGGTCAGTAATTTTTTACCAAATCTTGTCAGAATTAAAGTCCTTCAAACGGCTGATGCAGTAGCCATCCGGATGAAGAAACTGGAGCTATGCGTACAGAAGAAATATCTTCAACCACTCCTCCTCCCCTGGCTAACATCAAGGTTAGTTAATCAATAGTACTCATAGCTAATGAATGACCTAATTTGATTACGAACTTCGTAGTCAATTGTAATTTTCGCTGTTATCTTTATTCACAAATCTATGTATTATTACTATTATTATTACCATTTGTTAAACATCATTATTAATCTCCACTATACTTCGACCAATATAACTCGCTCCACAAGAGCAGTCGAACTGATAAATACATTTGACTGAATTGTAATTGCACTTTTATTTCTCTCACTCCATCTGATCCATTTTTATCCGGATCATGGATCTTAAATTTCACTTAACATATACGCAGATTCAAGTTAACATTTTATATGAGTCATATCAACATTAACAATTTTACTGTATTCTGTTTAACAACCTAAATTCACATACTTTAAACCATGTACTTTACCCTTAACCTGGCCATTTTTCAGATTATTAATTTGGATATGAGATAATTGTAGAACCTGAAGAGAATTTATCGAAAAGAATATTCTTCGTTCAAATTTAATTACTATTGACATATAGTAATTCATTCAATTTCCTACTTTTTTTAAAGATCTTGATAACATTTAAAGAAACTTGTTTTTTCCTCTTTTAAAGAAACATTCAGTATTTATTTATTATATTAAACAAGTATCAAGCTTGAATTTTCATAAAAGGATTACAATTTATTGACAGATATTTCGTATTTAAACATTAAAAATTAAAAAAACGAAGTTCATCGAAGGAATCTCTTTTCAACGAATTTATTATCAAACTGTACAATCGTATGCAGACAGATACGTGAATATGTCTCAGTTTGATTCTACCAGGGTGAGAGGAAAACAGTTAAGAGTTCTATACTTGAATACGTAATCAAATGTAATAATTCTACGGATTCATAATTTGATTTTAAGGTTGTTTATATGATTCATTCAAATCTACCTAGATTTCTTCGTATTCAACTTCTAAAAATATTCGAAACTTACCATCCATGAACTCAAGCCAAAACTATGCGTATAAAAGAAGTATGTTCTATCGTTATCGTTACATTGACCTTAATTAATATTATGATTATTACTGCATTCCCCTTTACTTATGTCTTACATTCTCATTATTTTATTCATAAATACTCATCATATCACCTTATTAATTTTTACACCTCTATGACTTCTAATAACCTTTAATTATTGTGAAAAAAACGTTTTATTCATCTTATTATATTCACTAAATCTATTGTTATTATTCGTATTACGTAATCTAGCATTATTATCTTTCTATTACATTATCTTAGTTATTCGTGTTCACATTTCCTCACTGAATTAGTACTTTAACAAATAAATATTTTCATATATCTACGATTTTACAGCTTGATAAATTCGTTTAAAAAAGAGATCCCTTCGCTGAACTTGGTGTTTTTAAATTAACTAATTATTATTTTGACTGAAAGTACTATGTTAATAATCATATTAATAATAGTAATAATAATTATTATTATTCTATATGACTTTGGTCACTACTATTAAATTCTATGACTGAAACCACTTCATTTATTAAGTATAGTATTCTTTCCCTAATTAAAAGAATAGGTTAGGTATACTCTTATTCACTTTAAATATTACAAATGTTTTTCTTTTCTTTTTACAAAAGAATAAACATATTTTATACATTTAATTGACATTTGCTAACAACAAACCTATAATTCATATATATAACTCTAATCGATTACTATCAATCACTTTGAAACAGGATGTAATCTTCATTTAAGCAAAATATAAACAGAGACTAAGTGAACGAGTAAATGAATGAATGAGTGAGTGAGTGAATGAATGAATGAACTGAATAAATTAGTATACACGCAAAACACTGGGGAAAAAACGATTGGGAATATAGATGAGCTTTATCAGTATTATTATGATTATTTTTTATCGAAAATAACAAATTTCCTTTCTTCATGAAGGATATTTCTGGAACAAAAAAGTAAACAAATGTTTCTAAAATACTTTAAATTAAATGGATTAAAAAAAGAAACAGAATTCTTTTATTTTTCGGGGTGGAGGGAAATAAATTAAAACCTCGAGGAATGGACATCGTCCATCCATTGGTATATATATATATATATATATATATATATATATATATATATATATATATATATATATGATTAATACCTTGGTTTATGTTTTATTCAATATTTTACAATACATGACATATAGGTATATATCATATAAAATAGAGTGAGTAATGTCCAATTTGTATTAGTGATTATAATAAAATTCTAGTATAAAGTATTAAACAAATTAATGGACATATACCGACAAAAGTATTGAACATATATCCTGAATTATTATTATTATTATTATTATTATTATTATTACTAATACTAATGCTATCTATTTCGCTAGGAGATTTTCACTAATGGTTACAAAATTGATCTAAATTTGGGATTTATCATGAAAAGAAAATATTTTACCCTCCCCCTCTCACTCATATATATATATATATATTGATTTTTTGTTTATCGAATTAAACATAGAGTGACAATTTAAAGTGAATTGTTATGTAGATAATTGAACAAGTGTTTATTTATTTATTTGTTTGTTTATTGTTTCAATTACATTCAAGCTGTCCATTTACCATTTTTATTTAAAATAGTAACAAGGACAATCAAAATTATTGACTGAAGTTTTTTTTAAAATAATAGTTTCATTGGTATGATTAGATAAGTTGTTCAGTTCAATAACGTTGTATAACAAATCAATTCTAAAACTGATTAGTCGGGACCTAAATACCTTAATGGTAACATTTAAGTTATGAAGCTGAATAACACTGATTTACATCTTATACAAGCATTAGTTCAATTATAATTATGAGTTTGCATTGATGCAATTAGTTCAAATGAGCATGAATTGATGTTAACCGTTTCCAATAATCTAATGTATATAATATAAATTTACAAATATTTCGTTACACATCTATCTATCTTGTAAAAGTTGCGCAATTACTGTGACTATGAGTTAATCAATGTGGTGAGCATAGAGGCATAAGGCAGTCATTGAGATTGTGGATTATTTGATCACTTTCATCTCCCAATTAAGTGATAGTTAAAAAATCCAAAATTCATCTTTTATAGAAGTTAGTTGTTTTGAATAGTTTAAATGACTTATTTAAACAAAATTTTACACGTGGAACTTCTGGTATAGCGTTCTATACATATATTTACATACAGTTGTTGTCATAGTGACCAATGAGGGAGAGAGACAAAATGTTTAATAAAGTTTTACTTTCATTGTATCAATAATTTGGTTAACCAAAAAGAATAATGTTCAACTTATGGTTGACTTGTTTAAACGTAAAGGATGAATGATTATATATATACTTAAACTGATCAATCAGATATTTTAAAATTAAGCGCTGAAATTGATGAAATGTTTCCATGTCATCTAAATAAATAAAGATTTCATTCATCTAAAATTTGGACAAACACTAACTGCATTGTTTTATGGATTAGAAAACCAGCATTAAAAATTTCCATTCTGACCAGATATATTGTAATCCCATTACCTTACGTTTATTTGTTTGCCAATCACTTGCTATATAGTAAAAATCAGTGATTGATTGGTTTATACGTTGAAGAATTTTATTCATTGGTAAAACCAATCAACTTTCAACTAGTAGATAACGGTTTCGCGTTCTGTCCCTCTGTTTTTGGTTTCCAACCGCACAAGATCATGTATTAGAACTAGTTGTAACATAAAAAAACACTGAGGTATAAAACTAGAGGCAACATTATGTACTTGCTGAATTACTTACGATTAGCTACATTATTCACTATTTTATATAGGAATAAATACTTTCAATTTGTTATTTGATAATCTAATAAGTTAGTGATTTTTCTTTGGAGTACTTAACACACCAAGTCTGACAAATGAATAAATTATCAAGAAACTCTAATTTATACACAGAAAACTATAGTGTGGCTATATATTATACTGTAGTGAACGAGGTCTTACACAATCAATTTGTAAAATATGAAAATTTGGCGAGACTCTAATTTATGGACGAGCCAATCAGAAGCGTTTTAGAGATTTCAAGGTTACGGCACCAACTTCAGTGCTTAATGCTAACA